AAATAATCATTGCATCTTGAGTAGGTTTTAAATAATCATCTTTAGTTTGTCTCCCTTCCTTAGATATGTTATATAGTATCTATTCACCGAGTAGTTGGTTTGCTTACACTCCACTATTTCGGTTTTACAAGGTTTGTGAGATTGCCCTTTGTACTTCTACAACCGCTTGTCTTGAAGTAAGCACATTGATCGTATGGCTCGTGTACTTGTAATCTCTCAAAACTTATGAATTGATTTGTTGTATATTTTAGAAGCTCGTAGTTATACTTGTGGGAGTTGTATGAGAATTTGATTATGGATATTATTTTGAAAAATATAAGAATACTATGGAATTATCACTATGTTAGAGTTATAAGGTATTAACTATTAGGTTGTGATATTGCAAATTAGAAATGATATTCGATGTGATATAGGTTTGAGAATTATAGTTTAGATATTCGAGACTTGCTTGAGCTCGAGGTAGGCCTCACGGTTTTCTCGATCTTTGTGCTAATCGTGGTCCACTTCGGGGGTCGTGATAATATGTTTCTAGTTGACCAAGTTGCATCTTATAGATTAGAATGCTAACTCAACTATGACTACTTAGAATACCAATTCTAATTTTTTCCCGACTCGGTTTAATGACCGACATAAATGCATAAAATTTTTGTGGTATAGAGTTTTCTATCTAGAAGAAATGTGTTAGATAGTGGGAGAACACATATGTTTTTTTTTTTTCAATTTCTTTTCAAAAATCAACATACTTTTATTAATTGCACATGATAGTTTTAAGGAGTTTAATTTCCCTAATGACGATGTGGATCTTGGGTTTTGAGCTTTTCCGTCATGATCGACCTATTCTCAATCCAAATCCAACACCATCGTCTATTAAGATTCTTTGCTTTTGCTTTTATTGAGTCAATTGAAATTTTTTTTTTTTTTGAAAATTTATGAGAAATCGAAGCATGATTGTTTATATTTAAATAAGTTTTTAGAGGTCTTAGTATTCGAAATTATTTTGGTGTATGATAACAATTTTGTTTATTCTCGATGGAGTTTAGTAGTAAGGTTTGTTTCGCAAATGACTTGTGAAAATAATAAGTTATTCTAAATTTGTGAGATATGAAAAAAAAATCCAAAAGAAGAAAGCTCATATAAACTATTTGTGAACAAAAAAACTACTCTCTATTCTAAATTGATTATCTCCCTTATTATTTATATTTATATATGTTTCAAAATATTTATTTGATGAAAACTTTAAATAATATATTTTCTTAAAATATCTCTAATCGAGTGAAGAAAATTGATTCGTTCTTTTCCTATTCTTCACAAACAAAAAATTAATATTTGTTTCTATTTTTTTATACATACAAATACTTTTGACATGAAAATTTCAAAGAATTTTTTTATTATTATTACTTGAAAAATATTCATTCTTGTAAGAACTTTTACCGCAAGTTAATTTTAGAAGTAAATATTTCCATTAATAAGTTATTTTTCTATAATTATTTTAAACTTGATCATTAATTAAACTAATAATTTTTTTAATTTATTACTTTAATTTTAGATAGATTTTCTCTTTAAAATAATATTGGTTCCATGTAATGCACAATTAAATTTGATAACTAATAATTTTAACAAAAAGGTTATTTTAGAAAAGTATGAAAAAAAAATATTGATATAACATAACTATTAATAACTTTTTTAAATTGTGTAAAAAAAAAAAAAACCTTTTTGGAATATTGAGAGTAATTGCCATCCGGAATGTTATTTGCTATCACAATTGCCAAGTTTCTTTTTCTTTCGCTTAAGCTCAATTTTCAGTCTTGTGGAATTTGCAATCTATTTGTTTTTATTTTTTATTTTTTTGAGATGTTAATATATATATATATATATATATATATATATATATATATATATATATATATATATATATATATATATAAAGGCTATCCATGTTCGAACTAGTACATTGTTGAAAGTTTATTTCTTTTATTGGAATTTCTCATTATATTCCAACCTGAAATGATAATATAATTGAGCAATTCACCCCTTAGCCAAATTCCTTGCACGCATTTCCTTTGATTCTTATAATTGGTGTAGTTAATAACTGTGGAGGATAAACTCCTAACTCCATTTTCCATAAAAGATTAGGTGAGTTCAATGAGTTGTTTATATGCTAGCTTGGTCTGATCATGAATTGGTAGTCAGATCATAAATCTCTCTGGGGGCTTTGTTGTGCAGATTAGGTGGTAAAATATTGATTAACACGCATGCATGAGTCACCATCACGCATGTAACCTTCCCTAGCTTTTGTCCTTGATTTTACTTTATCGATCAAGACGATTGAAGATACCCCATGCATGTTTTACAAAGCCCACCACATATCAAACGCAAGGAGATCAGAAACGTTCTTTTCCAACTGATTTAACATATCCAAGTCTTTTCATGTTTATGAAATTGGCAATGGAAAAGAAGGCATATATAGCTAGTGACAACTTTCATTGGACTATCTCTCTGTAAGCCATGTTTTGGATATGATCAGTACTTCCAATAATATTCTCTCTTTTAAGACCCACAAGAAATCTGATGCTTATTGTAATTACGACAAGATTGTTGCCTGCCAAAATCATATCATAGCGTGCCAACAGTACATATTCCTTGGCTCTTTCATCCTTTAATTTTAAGGGTTTCTTCATAGTCTAGTTACGTAATTACATCTTGTATTTATTTTGCTTATATATATATATATATATATAAGAACAAGATCGATGTATATATTAAATATTAACAGAATAAAAGATTGGTATAAACAGCTAGCTAGCTTGTAAAGTTAAAAATACTTGTCTTCAGAGCTAAGTTATTTGAGAAGATCTAAATTGTAATCATAATTTTGACTCTTAATTACTCTCAAGCATTTCATGTCAAAACGCATAAATTCTTTTCCACCAATTCACTTTAATTTGGTCTAAAAGATGAATTTGATTGCACATTTAGTCAACATGATAGGATTTGGAGCCCAATAACTTGACACCGACAAAAACTGGTTTACTCCCTTTTGTTTCCGTTCTTCCCAAGCTTTGAATGATTTAGCAAAATTCAAGTTCTTCGCTTAGGAAAATATTAGTACCAAAATACAGTTTATTCCCTTCATTGCCAAGCAAATTAAACTCGTTTGGCAGTGCAGGGTGGCCGGGACAATTTTTGTTCCAGAGCCATTAATTGTAAGTAATCAACGCATTTTACTATATATATATATATATTAGGGATGGCAATGGATGGGTACTCCATTTATTAATTCAATTTTTTATCCTATTCATAAAAAAATACCTTATCTATTATCTATGAAAAAATACTCATAAATTTTTATCGAGCCCATACTAGTTTACCCGTTTATTTAATACCCATTAAATATCCGTTCAAATTAATTTATTACACATATTTATTTTAGTCCTTATATTTTTTTAAAAAAAGTTTTTTGATCCTTTTTTTTTTTTTTTTTTGCATTTTGATCATTTATATATAATTTTTTTGGTCCTTACATTTTTTTTAAAAAAATTTTGATAATTAATTTTTAAATTTTTATACAATTAATTCTCTACATGTTAATAAAAATCTAAATAAATTAGTGAATATTAATATGATAAATAAAGAGTATTCATATCTTGAAACAATTTTAGTGAATATATATATATATATATATATATATATATATATATATAAATTTTATCTTTACTCGTTAAGTAATTTTAATACATATTTATTGAATAGGATAAAATGGATAATCATTTTATAGCCGGGCATCGTCATTCCTATATATACTCATGAATTCGGGACCTTCTGTCAAGTTTATTCTTTCCAGCCCATTGGCTGTGCCGAAAGCTATCAACCACCCACTAAGCAATTTCCAATGATTCTATCTTTTCACTTTCCAAGTGGCTAGGTAGGTTCAAGAAGAATTCAGTCTTCTTAACTCTTAAGTTTTCCACCATGGAAATCATGTCTTGGAAATATATGTCCATGCTTCTTTGAAAAAATTGACTCAAGTCAGATTTAATGTCATTAATTTGCATTATATATAGTCAAATCCAGTCTTCATGTCCTTCGTTAATTAGTAAAATCAGAAGGCAAAATCTTGGACTTTTTATGATGGTCGGTTGTTATAGTTTGGTAGAGAAAGAACAAATTAATTTCATGATGCAAGCTTATCCAGTACTACTATATATGTAGATAAGCTTCTATATATTATGACATATTCTCACCATATCAGATTCATATCTTTGAACGAAGCATAAATAAATAAATTAATTAATAGTATACAAACTTCCACCTTCCCTTTTCATGATATCTAACAAGACCAAACAACAACAATTTACTGTGTATGGATAATATGAAAAATTATCTTGAATAAACTTTCCACAAAGTTTCCTAGCTAGAAGGCGTGCATGAGAAAGAATAATACCGATTTTCAAGTAAGCAATACCTCACCTCATGGAAAGTTTTATGAGAAGTGTCTTAATAGTTTAGATCATGCATGTCTAAGTAGCACTTTTCTATGATATGATTGGTTCGATCTATATGGACCAGGTTCTTGTAATTTTCCAAATTCTTAATAACTTTAGTTGTCTGGTTTCAATAAACATCATAGATTGTTTAACGTTGCCGATAAGTTCCACAGAAAATGTCTTTTAGGACCTACTGTTGCTAGTAAATTCACTGAAACTTGCTCCCGAAAAAGAAAACCCCCCAAAGAAACAGTAATTTCGTGGTCGATTCTTTTAATCAACTACTTGTACTTCATTATGATGTCATTTAGGACATAATTGAAGTGGACCTTATAGTTTTAGATCAGGCCTATTGGTTAATCATGAAAACGATCACTTCCTTTATATCCAATATCTGACTTTTTTGTAATTAGTTAATCACATCATTGAGATAGAATTCTCATAAAGACATCATGACATATATGAAATCCCAAGTAAATTTCCATGAATTCATTTCACACATGTAGCTAGCTAGTGTCAAAGAAGCTCCAGGAAAAGGGTTGCTTTAGGGTAGAGGCCAGCATCTTTCAGTGTCATTCCAATCTGATCAACACTGTAGACTCTTCTAGGAAAGCTTGATATTAATCTGTAGTTGCCAATGCCTGGTAGCCGTAATGAATCTATGTATCGGTAAATTGACAGGATCTTATCTGAGCAGGAAAAACTCTGCTCTCTTCTCTCACCATTTGGAAACCTTATCAGAATCTGAGAGTTCAACGGAGTATTCAGCCAATCAAATACAGAACAAAAATTACTTGAAGCGAAAATAGAAAGGTTACAAAATAATTAACACCTGTGTTGCTTGAGAATCTTTGGACCCGTTAGCTGTTTCTCTAACAGTAGAAACTTCTTTTGCTTTACCAAACTGTTTCTGAGTTGCACTATGCCTTAGCTTTTCATAATTTGCTTTATTTGAAGAATCAGCTGGTTTCTGAACTTTCCTCTCTGGAAGTAAGCTGTTAAGTTTTTCCTTCTCCTGGAATGAAGAAAATGATGGTTAATTTTCGATTTGATTTTAGCCTTGGAAATTCTGGAGCAACTCTAAACCTAAGGCAAGGAATGTCAGATACCTTATCTATCTTTAGAGCTGCAAGATATGCTGCGTCTTGTTCTTCTCTTAGTCGACGATCTGCTCTTATCTTCTCTTCTTCTTTGACCCTATCTCTTTTTCTCTCTTCCTCAATGGCCCTTGCTCTTATTGTCTCTTCTTCCTTTGATCTTGAATTGCTAAATGCCAACCCTTGCTCCTCTACTGTCCTCTGAAGAATCTCGACCAGCTCTGCCGGGGAAACTGGCCCTTCCATCTAAACAAAATAAATTCAGTCCTAAACCATCACTAGTAGTGGATCAAGAATATGTAACTTGAGCAACAATACTAATAAAACTGAAAATTTTAGTACCGACAGCTATACATTTCGTCTGATACTTTAGATATCTAGTCTGTTTTCCTTTTTCTCTCTTCAATACCTCTCTAGATGCCTATGAGAAAATAGATAAAGAGGATTCACCTAAGATCTGAATAATACAGTAAAGTTTATCAGGGTATTTAACATTTTAACTTCAAATTCCAACAAACCTGTTGCAGCACTGCTATGCTATTACCAGCAGCAGGAGCTATCACTGCACAACATGGAAAGCTTGCAGGTTGCAGTGTTGAAACCATTTGCAAACCCTCTCCTCTATCGGCAAGTGATCCCCAACAAACAAAGTTAGCATCAAGAAACTGAACCACCAAGTCTGAAGTTAGAGTCTCCCGACAGAAAGAGGGAGTGAAAGGGTGATGCGGTGAGTGAAGATACATGAACATAAACCTGTGCTCATCTTCTGCTATCTTTAAGGCTTCCATGAATTGACAAGCATAAAAGAAAGGATGTTTTGATCCATATTGCTGCTCAAAAACGGAAAGGAAGGTCCACTCTTCTGGTGCAATGAGGGGCTCCTGAGGAGGTTGCAATGGAAAGTTTGGTATTGGATTCTGATCTCTTCTACCTCCTATTCCTATTCGACAAATGCCATGTCCCATCACTCTAGAAAATCCCCCTACAATACTCCGAGGGAGGTTCACCATACGTCGAACAATTCCATTGCTAGAAGCCTCTCTTATTGCTCTTGAACTTTCCCTCACTGACCATGACATTCTGCTCTATCTACACCAATCTTCAAAGAACAGAAATTAATGAAAAGAAAAAAAAAAAAAAAAAAAAAGAGAGGAAGAGGGAAATTTAGATTCTATTTGCTTCGTTGTAATTTTCCGAGGCTACTTCCATGTGGAGTTCTGAAACTGTATCTTGCAAGTTTGTAGGTTCACCAACTGGAGATCCTAATGGAAAGTCATGTTCTTGACAAATGTAGAGGCATTTATCTTGCTGACAAGAGAATATATTGTTCTCAGACATTCGACTACGCACATACATAATTCCCTTCTTTTATTGAGCTTTAATCAAAGTAGCATAAAGAACATTGCAAAAGAATGTGTAGATGCTTCTAATGCTTCATTTCCACAAAGCTTGAACAAGATACTTAGCTTGCGATAGAATCCACCTTTGATTTTAGAAGAGATTACAGTTAAAAAAGATTCAAAGATAGATAGAGACCATGGTGGATGAAGAATCAAATTCTTGCTCTTGCTACTTTTCTTTTTATCATTCCAAATTTCTGGACTGCTCTACATATGTGTGCATCAATATCAAGACTTGTATGACCTTGTATGTAGCTCAGTGATACTCATGCATAAGCAAGAGGGGTCAGGGTGAGGTCTCCATTAAAAACTTATATCTGAGACTGTGTTGGAGATACAAGAGGAGATTGAAATTACATATTTTGGTCAAATTTTTAGTGTGAATTTAATTTGAAAATTCAAGTAAAGAACCTGCAGAAATGTTATGAACCATTCAAGCTACAGTAACTGAATTCCTAGCTGTCAGAAATAACAACAGTGACAAGGTTATCTTACAGAAGACATTGACTGTTCAAAAGGCATTTACATGTTGAGTCTATCCTGTTCTGTCTTGTCGTTTTAAATAATATTGGCTACTTTTGCAGCAAAAAAAAAAAAAAAAAATGGCTATATATGATGGATTGCTGGTGGTGTAGGTGGAGACTATTTGTCTTTGTTGCTAGATTGATGACTTGACTATCAAGGCCTACCACCCACAACTGTGCATTAATTTTTCCTTTTGGTCCTTTCTATTTGGAAGATAGTCTTATCTCGAAACATTGTTTAAGTAAAATGAAATGATTTCCCATCCATGATTGTGCCAATATCCCTTTTGATAATAGGACAGAACTTGTCGAATAGCTTCATCATAAAAGCCCTGAATTCCTTCAATTTCCCCAATTAAGCATCATTGCTGCCTCAATTAAATTGTCAAATTTGGCGACAAAAGTTACTGAAATGACTACTTTGGCTGATCAAGTAGATTTTTAATGAAAATTTCAAGTTGAATTTCTTTGTTATCCATTTCATCATTTCAGGGTAGTGTTGCCAAACCTTTTGACCTACGCACCCATGTTGTGAATTATAAAAGCAAAGTGTACCAAATAAATAATATCAAGGCCATAACCATTATATGGCTAATGTTTATCTATATAGCCATGTGATAGCTAGTCTCCCAAAGCTCATGTCCATTCTTGCTAGAACGGCTCTCTAGCTTACCTTTTAGAAAGCTACAATATTTTCAGCTTTTTCTTGGACAAAAATATTGAAAAGAGATGCATATTTTCTGCCACAAGAGAAAACAACACATGGTCTCCACATCCACAACAGATGACCCATTTCTTCCTCTTCATCCACCAGAAGTAGGCAATAAGATGTGGTGGAGTACCTGCTCAATTTTGCACATTACTTATTACTGAAGCCAAACAGTGCTCTTCTAGGACCATAATATGGTGGTTGTGCTACCAAATTAACTGATTGATTGTGGCCTAAAAAAGGCTGAACTAAATAGCTTATTACTGTATCTATAACCCTCATCGATCATACCCAATTATGTGTTGATTATCGGTTTCTTTTCTATTTAGACTGCCACAACCATAACATTATTATAATATGGAATGAAAAAATGGGCATCAAAATGAGAATTTAAAATGGTATCACACCGCACGCTCCTACTTCGATCAGCTTCATCAGTATATTGAGAGTTGCAGATTTTGAGGCATAAAGTCACCATTTCTTGTCATATTTTTATCTTAAATTTGAATTTTTTTTTCTCTTTTGTTATTCTTCTCCTCCAAAAAAAAAAAAAAAAAAATCATGGCATTGGCAGCCTTATTATGCAGTAGCAATAATCAATGGATATCATACAAATCTCTTTCCCTTTTTATGGATGCCACTAACACAAGTTTTAAGAAGATGATGTATCAATCCTACTATACATGTTAGTTCCATCCATTCAAAAAAAGTTTAAAAATCTTACGCACATTCTTTGTAGATTGTGGGGATGGAATCTATTCTCTTGGACCAGCTTTACAAAGGAGCATGCTCCCACTCAAATACCTTAATAATCTCATGACTGCCAGTTGTTTTTTTTTATGGGAGTGACCATCAGTGGACCAATATTCCTCGCCAGTTCTTTCCTTTTCTTTCATTTCTTGCAAAGGTGGGTGAGACTGTGAGTGGATGCGTGTATGTGAAAAGAAGAGAGAAATAAAGAAATAGGATGGTAATGGTATTTTATTAAAGGCGAAGTATTTTGAGAGTGGGAAGCATCATAACCCAGAACTCTATAAAGGGAACCAGTCTGAGGGCCCATACTTATGTGCTCCCATCTACCATGTCAAGCACAATCTTACGGAACTTACAAGGTTGTAAAATAATCCAACTTTTGTTCACTTTACTTTTAGCTGAATGCTTACAATATTAATTTCTATTAACATTTTTCTACACTCTACATCATCTCATTAATAATTATATAGCATTACCGTACCAGAATGCATTTTGTGATAAAAGAGTTGTTTTAGTTTGATTAAAATCAAAGTTTAATTTATAATATTTATCAATAATTAATCATAATTATTCTTTAATAATGTCGGACTTAAGAAGGTTTAGTGTAAGAAATACAGTACGATAGTCGATTAAAAAATAAATATATTCTGGAGCGGATTAATCCTGTTGAGAGTATTGAAATTAGTCTCGATTGATAGAAAAAAGTTATCCAAAAATACTCACTAAGAGTAAATATCTTTTAAAAAAAACAAAATTATGCAGCATCTTCTATCACTCCTATAACTTCTAAAATTGTTAACTTTAATCCTATAGGATGTGATGCCAATTTGAGATTAAACAGTATAATGAGAGAAAACAAAGATTACTAATGAGACAATATAGGATAATTACTTAAAAGCAGCTTGACAACAGACAACTTCCACCCCCACTATGGTATGGTGGTGATACTCCCCTGTATCCGTATTCTTCCTCATTAGGCCACTGATTTGGAGAGTTTCTTATTAACCCTAGAGATCGATCCTGTTTCACCATCAACAGATATTGTCTAGCTTCTCTTAAAACTCATAAACTTCGAAGTTATTTTCAGTAACAATATTATTGAAGTCCATAATACATGGAACTCTGACCTAATTGAGCATGGCATCACATATCATAGATGGTGACATCATTGAAGTGATAGGTCCCCCATGCATCCATTTTGGTCGACTCATTATTCTGATTATTAATTTAATTTCAGGTCTGGACGTAGAAATATTGATAAGGAGCTGAATGGAGGACCATGTTTGTTAAGGTCATTAATTAAGATGCTTTTCTTTTCCATCCAAACTCTGTTTTTCATAATGTTTTTTTCACTGAAGTACAATTCCAGGCTCAACTCTACTTTTCATGCTAAAAAATGTTGGTCTTGTTTGATTATTTTAATCTCAGAAGTTTCATAAGTTAATTACCACCTGGTGGGGTAATATTTTACGGGACATTTTACCGTTAGGTATGTAAAATAGTTGCACTCGATCCTGCAAGTCGAGGGTTGAAGAAGGTCATTATTTATAGAGGAAAAGGTTGCTAATTCAAAACGAGACAAACAATGGATGTAAAGATTATTTCAAACCAAGATAATGCAGCGTTGCACTAGTATTATGTAATTGTAACAGATGTACAATGAAAGAGGCAAATGGTTCAGAAAATTTGTATTAGTTGGTCTACCATGAAATCATCACAGGAACCTCTTTAATTATCAATAATCTGATGTTAAGTCAAAAGAAATTACTCATCAGGAGCCCTATAATTCATCATCATGAGTTCTCTGACACCATCATTACTTTTGGCCCACCAAATTGCAAAAATGTGGTTGCGCATGTTTTGTCACTTCATTGTGCTAATGTTAACAGTACTATGATAATTCCTTTCTTTTTCAGCCCAAGAGTTGGGATAGATTATTATTTCCAATCTTTGATTTTCCAAAAATGAGCAAAGAATTATCACAAATCTATTGGGACGGACGATGTTAAGGAATCACTGCAACTAATTACTACTAGTACGTGCAAAGACATTTGAAATGAGCTCCAAGAAGTGGAGTGAGTCACAAAGACGATTTCATGAAGCTGGTTAAACTGTCATAAAAGCTGCAAAGATCAGAACAAATTTAAGAGATTATTACAAGGGCGTAACATTAGAGAACACTTAAGGGAGACAGAGATAGAAAAACAGAATGAAGTGTGATGCCCACTTTTGACAAAAGTGTAAAACTTTGCTTAACTTGGCAGGAAAAAAAAAGAAAAAAGGATCAAGGTTGAAATCAAATGTGATGTGTGATTCTCTTTCTTTCCCACCTCAGAATCTCACCAGGGAATAACAGGCTGGTAAATCATTGGTACAATCAAATCCATCTTTGCTTTCATCAAATTTAACCCTCCTCTCTCTCTCTCTCTCTCAATATTATTATTTAATTTTCGAATGTCTCAAAATATTTATCTATCTATTCATGTCATGAAATATTTAGTTTTACCATTATGCTTCTCATTAAAACCATATTTATTGGATTTTTATAATTTTGTTTATTGAAAAATTATAAGGGAAAACAAAAGAATAACATTGAAAAATTGGAGGCATTTTGAACGATGTGCCACTAAGATACAGTAGTTTAGTTTGACCACAACCTGTTATGGTTAAAACTTAGTAAAGTACAACTCTACCCATGTAGGTGGTCTATTTATAAAATAATCTGATGCCTGAAGTTTCTTGTGTGTCAGTCAGATCACACAAAACCAAGACAATAGAATCTGAGTTAGAGGAGAGAAAGTGGAGGTTTCTTTATATATATGTTGGAAAATGGTGAAGTAGTGAACAAACCAGCTGTAGTTTTGTTCCTCTGAAGAGGGATTCTCTTTTGTATGGACATGAAGTTAGATTCATTTCCATGGACAAAACTTCAGAATTATGAACCATTTTCTATTTTTCACACAACAAGACAACACCAATGTATACAAACACAAGTTGTTTCTGCAATAAAAACAACAACAACACGGAGACGACAACGACACAGACATTCCACAAAAATGGCTGCTTCTATTTCTCTTAACACTCACCCAATGATACCTATTTTTGTTGTTTTCCTTCTTGTATTTGCTTCTTCTATTTCTCCTGTCTTGTCTCTACCAGCTGTCGTGTCAGATTCCGGTAACCGGCTATTAGCCAATCAAACCTTCAGGCCAAATAAAGAGTTATTGAGACTGAAGAGAGTCAATGCTTATCTCAAGAAGATCAACAAGCCTGCCGTCAAGACAATTCAGGTGCTTCTTTCTTTCGACTTTTCGTTCTTCTTTTCTGTTTTTTCTTTCCCTTGTATGTTTGTTGAATTTCTCCTGGTTTTGTGTTATTGGTGTTTTAGTGATCTGCGTTCTTGTTTTTGTCCTTTAGAGCCCTGATGGTGATGTAATAGATTGTGTTTTATCTCATCTTCAACCAGCATTTGACCATCCAGAGCTTCAAGGAAAGAATCCCCTGGTAGATTTTCTGTTCGTTTCTACTGAAAAAGTTTCTAGAAATCTTTTTCCTTCTTAATTTTTTGTTGGTTTTGAAAAGTTTGTGATTCTGATTTGTGTGAGTGTATTATCCTTACATGAATCCAGGATCCACCGGAGAGACCAAAAAGCAATGAAACAAGAGAGGCAGTGGCAGAGAACTATCAGCTCTGGGCAGATTCAGGTGAATCATGCCCAGAAGGAACCGTTCCAATAAGAAGAACCACAGAAAAAGATGTTTTAAGAGCAAGTTCTGTTAAAAGATTTGGCAGAAAATTAAGAAGACATGTAAGAAGAGACTCAACAGGCAGTGGTCATGAGGTTAGTTAGTATTGGCATCAAGAATTTGCAAATTTTTAAAGCAAAATCATTAGTGGAACTGATAAACAGAAAAGAATGATGAGCTAGTCATTTAATAAAGTGTTTCACTATCATGTTTCTAGGTCACTTTTTCTTTTCTGTTTTTTGTGGATTTGTTAAACCAGAATTTTGGTCATAACTCACTGGAAAATCTGTCATTTCTAGTTATTCCTAGAAACATCTACCAAAAAATTTTTCCCCTCCTTTGTTAAAAAGGCTAATTTCATTTCCATTCAGTTTCATCCAAATTAAACAGTGAATAATAATATTTGGAGGAGAAAAAAGAGTGGCTGGACATTAAATGCTGAAGTTGTTTTCAAATACGGAGCACTCTGCCATATGTCATAAACATTTATTTATTGCACCTAAAAAGGACAAAAAATAATGGACTTGAAAAATGCTCTACATGTGCTTATAGAAATATCCTAGTATTTATATTAACAATGTTGTGTGTTACCACAGCATGCAGTTGTTTTTGTTAATGGAGATCAATATTTTGGAGCAAAAGCAAGCATAAATGTTTGGTCACCTCAAGTAACCAGTGGATATGAATTCAGCTTGTCACAAATATGGGTCATCTCTGGTTCTTTCGGCAATGATCTTAACACCATAGAAGCTGGTTGGCAGGCAAGAATTTTCTTCGTACTCTAGAACAGGTTCAAAAAATGGCCTCAATGTTAATCATGCTTAACGGGCTACATCATTTTGGTAATTGGTAATGGTGTCATGGTTCAGTAAGAGTCATAAGGTGCCTAAGAAATTGATTTCTTCTTGTATCTTCAGGTCAGTCCGGATTTATATGGAGACGGTTATCCTAGATTCTTCACTTATTGGACAGTAAGTCTTGTTAAAATTCCTTCCATAGTTTAAAGAAATATGAACTAGTGGCTAACTGGAATTGATGGATTCGCAGACCGATGCGTACCAAGCTACAGGATGCTATAACTTGCTTTGTTCTGGATTTGTCCAAACCAACAACAAGATTGCCATCGGAGCTGCAATATCTCCAAGGTCTTCATACAAGGGCAGACAATTTGATATTGGCTTGATGGTTTGGAAGGTGAGCTTTTTTTGGTCACTGAATGGTAGTTGAGAATCACCTACAGTAGTGTCATATTTCAATTAATTCTACAGCATGAAAGCTTGACTAATTAAATTAAGCTTTAAGGTGGTTTTTTACAGTTAACTTGGTTGTAAACTTTCTTTACTTTGCTTCCTTCTAATGAGAAACAAAACATCATTATCAAATCCAGAAACTATTGTATTCTGAGTTGATTAATAGATTTGACTTGGAACGCGTACCTTGGCTTCTTCTTGGTTCTTTTCCCTAATCATATTATTAAAATGTAGGAATCTCTTCTTTCTTTTTTCTTTACTTGTCAAAGGGTTTTTCCTAGATGGGGTCAACTTTTCTTTGATGTCTTTTTCATCACCGTCTTTAATAGCTAGCTTGACCCCAACTAGCTTTAGGGTCTTAAAGGGTAAAACCACACGGTTTCTTCTTCTCTTCTTTTCATCTGCATTTTCTGTCTTACTGTTGTGTTTATTGTGAACATATTTCTACTTGCGTAATTAACACTAACAAGACAGGACAATTTGACTGACTAGGAAAGTTCATCCAATTATGTGGCCAGTCACATTATGAGATACATACATGTATAGGACTTGAGGTGATGATACATACGCATTAATCATTTTCCCTTAACACTTTGTACAAATACATTGATGTAGGACCCAAAGCATGGAAATTGGTGGCTGGAATTTGGATCAGGACTCCTGGTAGGTTATTGGCCAGCATTTTTGTTCAGTCACTTGAGAAGTCATGCGAGCATGGTACAGTTTGGAGGGGAAATCGTGAACTCTAGATCGGCAGGGTACCATACATCAACTCAAATGGGCAGTGGTCATTTTCCAGAAGAAGGATTTGGAAAAGCATCTTATTTTAGGAATTTGCAAGTTGTGGATTGGGATAATAATTTGCTCCCTCTAACAAATCTACATCTTTTGGCTGATCATCCAAGTTGTTATGGTATAAGGCAAGGGAGAAACAATGTTTGGGGAACTTACTTTTACTATGGAGGTCCTGGAAGGAATGTAAGGTGTCCATGAAGATAATGACCATAGGATAGAGAGTAAAAGGCATCTTATTAATTTTGGGTATTTTTTATTTTTTATTTCAGGCCATATCAAGGTTTGGGTTAGTTTTACCTTTCTTTTTAATATATGCCCCAACTTTGGGTTTTTTCTCTCTTCTTTTTTCATAACAGGTGAATCCCACTTCTGGGAATTATGTATATTTAGGGGAAATACAAGTTGTCAATAACAATAGATTGTGTGTTATCTGTTGACTTTTGTGCTTTAATTTTTTTTTTTAATACCTTCAAAGTACTTAAAAAAAAAAATCAAAACAAGAAGAGGCTAGGAGTCATCCTCGATTGTCAAAAACACCCTTAACTACCCTGGAAGAGGCACTTGACTTGACTCACCCAATTGGAAAGCCCAGTGTCTTAAGGAAACTTCAATTCAATTACTTATTTATGATTGGTGATACACCCGTTCTACATGGCATTGCATGTGGGGAGCATCAAGAAAGAAAGCAAATTTTAGGCCAAATGGACATCTCTTTGTTACTATAATATCCTAACGTGCAATCCATCTTTTGGAGAATGGCATAAAATACGCTAATGTAAAGATTAAAAAAAATAGCCAAAGACAGCACCATTAACTGCAGCAAGTCCTCTTATCTAACCAAGCTTGTCCTTTCCACCGTGGATTTGAGCTAATATTGATTAAATACTATGTTAGAAAATTTATTCTCCATGATCTCTTGTCCCTTATCATTGCTTAGATATACATCCGGCCCTAATCCTCTTAAGGCATGTGTCCTTTCCTCTAGAAAGTCAAGCTAACAACCCCCTTTTCTAATTCTCTCCCGGCCGATCCTTCACTGTCAACCGATAAAAAATATTGAGTGATGGCACTCATACTCGTCAGTCTAATGCACTTAATTATTTACAATGATCAAAGGTGATGAATAAACACACACACACACATATATATATATAACTTAGTATGGTTCGGTCATGAAAACCTACATCTACGAGAGGAAGGGATCAAATTTTTTTTATTTCTATCACACCAAATGCAGCAACAGCAGGTTCCTTTTATAGGAGCCATATACACTAGAATAGGAAGCCACACTTCAGAAAAATTAGAATAGGAAATCGGGACCATATTTCTTTTTGATTTTCTACAATTACAATCATTGATTTCTTCATAAATAAGAAGATTATGTTCCTCGGAATTTGGAGGCATATTTTCCATACTCTCCCTCGATTTGGTAAATAGATATCGGTAATTCCCGACTTACTAAGATAGAAATCAAAACTTGATTTCTAAAGAGCTTTTTCCGAATATCAACTTCACGAGATTTGGTAGGGACATAGGATAGAACAATAATTCCATTTTCTATTTCATTTTTGATGAAATTTTTATCAATCCTCACATATTTCATTTGATCATGTTGGATTGGATTGTGAACAACACCGATAGCTGATTTGTTGCCACTTGAATAACTTTGTAGGCTTTATTACCGGCATGTTTAAGTCTATTATTAACTTCTAAATCCAAATAAGTTTACGGGTTCCTTGAGATATACTCTATAATCGACTTCTACACTACTTCGAGCCACTACAAATTGTTTCTTGCTTCACCAATTCACTAGATTTTCCTATTCCTTTGTACGAGTATCCGAGTTGTTGACTTGCTATCATCAATATCTCTTGCCCAATCTGCATTTGAAAAACCAACAACATCCCTAATTTCATTTTTCTTAAATAGTAGACGTTTGCTCGAACTCTCCTTCAAGTATCTCGGAATCCGATTTACCACCTCCATATGCCTCTTGATGGGAGCATGTATAAATTGACTTATTATACTTATTATACTTACATTAAAGGCAACATTAGGTCTTATGAGTGATAAATAAATAAGTTTTCCTACCAAGTGTTGATATATTTCTCTATTCACGAGGAGATCATCATTTGATACTTTGTGCTTCCAATGTCTTTTCAAAGGTATACTAAATGGTTTACAATCAAGCTTTCATGTCTCTTTGAGTAAATCTAGTGTGTACTTCCTCTATGAGATGAAGATTCCTTTATGACTCCTTACGAATTCAACTCTTAGAAAGTATTTTAGTTCTCATAGATTTTTTACCATGAACTCGCTCTGAAGTCTCTTTTTGAGATTGCTAATTTCCACTTCATCATCATCGGTGATCACCATATCATCAACATATACAATGAGTATAGCATGTTTCCCCGACCCACTTCTCTTCACAAACAATGTGTGATCCACTTGTCCTTGGTGGTACCCAAGACTCTTCATAATAGTGCTAAATCTTGTAAACCAAGCTCTAGGATAACCTATAAAACGATTTTTTCAATTTACAAAACTTGTTTACTTATCCTCCTTCCTCGAATCCTTAGGGATACTTCATATACACCTCTTTCTCTAGTGTACCATTAAGGAATGAATTCTTCATAACTAGTTGATGTAAGCCCAATCCAGATTAGCGACAATAAACAATAGGATTCTAGTAATGTTGAGTTTAGCAACTAGTATAAAGGTTTCTTCATAATCAATCCGAAAAGTCTAAGTGAAGCCTTGTGCTACGAGTCTTGCCTTCAATAGATCCACTTTTCCATCCGGTTTATATTTTACTATAAAAACCCACTTAGTTTTAACTAATTTCTTCTCTTTTGGTAATTGCATCATTTCCCAAGTATCATTGTCTCTTAATGCCTTTATTTCTTCCAACACAGACTTCTTTTTAATTAGGATTTTGAAGAGCCTTATCAATATTTTTAATAACTTTTATTTCATCAATATAGCCAATGAAGGCCTTAAAATCTCTCGAAAGCTTAGAGTATACAACATAATCCGAGATAGGATATTTGGGATCTTAGTTCGAGTTCTTACCCTTTTCCTTAAAGCAATCGGAAGATCCAAATCACAAACTTGTTCACAACCTAACCCATCCTCCTTGTTATTACTCGTTGTTAGAATCGCCACTTGGTTCAAATTCATAGGTTTGCATTAGAGTTTTTGGTCTTTTAGAATATACTTGAAT